TATATATTTGTAACACAAGTGGTATACTTTGGACTTTCCCAGCGGCAGAACGCATGCGTGCAAACACGTCTTCGCATGCCAGTCATGATGCCACGCTATTATAAAACATGACCAAGTTGCGCTCGATGCCGCTAACACCCAATGCAGAAACACTTTTCTTTCGACTTAGCGAACGACTTTTTAGCGCAAAACTAATCCCAAATAGAGGACGACCGCCGACTGCAGTTTGCAGTTTCCGTTTGCCGCTGGTCTCTGGCCGCGCTGTTGTTTGTGCATTGTTGCCGGTAACGCKCGTATGGTGCGTCATTTATGGCAGTTAATTAACCGCATTGCAGGAGGTGTGAAAATATTCAACTATGGAATTTATTACTACATATTTGATAATTAAATTAGCCGCGGCCATTTTAGGTGGCAGACACTGGCGATTCGTTGCTGCTCCTGTTGCTGCACCGTTATTGAGTTTATGTCTTTTATGGCAGCAATTAATAAACATGGCATGCCGACGGCGTTGGGTTCAAGAAATATATCGACAGGTAATTGCAAATATGAAGCCCCGGTAGGCAATAGTGGAAGGATTTTTAAGATATAACTCAAAAAGTTTAAAAGATTTTACTTGAGAATAAAAGAAATAGGCAAGATGAAAACGGGTAATACCACACCAATTCAAACCACGTCGTTCATCTCCACACCAGTGCTGTAAACGAAAATCTATGGTGAGGACACAGTCCAACGGAAACCTCACAAACAGACCTTCAAGTAATGTTACACCAAATTTAGGGAAAGTCATAGATCAACTTCTTCTTCTTCTTGATTGGCGTAGACACCGCTTACGCGATTATAGCCGAGTTAACAACAGCGCGCCAGTCGTTTCTTCTTTTCGCTACATGGCGCCAATTAGATATTCCAAGTGAAGTCAGGTCCTTCTCCACTTGGTCCTTCCAACGGAGTGGAGGTCTTCCTCTTCCTCTGCCTCCCCCGGCGGGTACATGACCTATCCAGCGTAGCCGCTGTCTTTTAATTCGCTGAACTATGTCATAGATCAACTTAGTTGTTATTAATTGCATTGAGTATTTTCCTTTTTTTTTTTTTTGGATATTACAAGTGCTTCCGGAGTTTGAAAGTAATTTGAATGCATGCTGCCGAGCTAACAGTCCTTGGTCGCATAAGTATCCGAGTTCGCTCCTGTTAGATAGACCCGATTGTCATGGTAACGGTTAATATTACAGTATTCGATCTGCTGTTATTGTTGTTGTATTTATTATATAATCCCAATTTTGGTGGTAAAGGTTAAGTGGGTTATCGTAAAAGTGATGCTGTTGTTATTATAGCGACAGAATCCTGAGCAATAAATGTGYTCTTTCGATGAGATCAAACCATGGGGAGAAGGGTGTTAGATCAGTGGAATTCACTGCACAATCATTGGAGAGCATTGTGTTCCTTAATCGGAAGCATACAGTTTAGCTATGCCGATGTTCAGTGGGTGGCATCCTGTTATCGTAAGTAGTACGGTGTTCTGACACTTCTGAAGTTCTTCTTTGTTTGCGACCATATTCGTCATAATCGGCCAGCTGATTGCCTTGTATATTGGTTATAACATTTTTTTCTCTTTTTCCCAGGTGCTGCCGGCCAGAGACTTCGGGATTTTACTGCGGTTTGTACTTTAGCAATATTCGCTATCGTACGCGGAGTGAAGGCACTATTCGGATAGGCAGCTGGTATTTAAGAGAGGTATGTAGTTTTCATTAATTCAATTCTTTGAATTTTTATTGCTACCAGCGTTGCTTCTAAAAGCTCACTGATTCAAAATAACTTGTTTGTTCTTCGAAGGATGTGGAATTTTCTGTTTTAGTACATACTTTCCTTCAAATTTAGCAATATCACCATCTTATTTAACTGAATCCCCTTATTCCAAGTTAATAATGCATACATGCATAAATAAAAAATAAACTTTACCAAAAGCAGACCTTGTTATATATAGCAAACTTTTTGTACAATTTATAATTATTTATTTGGATTTTAATTATATTTACTGAACAGCCCATAATCTGTAGATGACAAAGGAACCTTATACATAGCACAGAAGAATTATACCAAAATAATTAAACAAATACTTTTTAAAACACATACATATGTAGCATAACAATAATTTTGTGAGATTTCAATTCCGGTTTGTTACTGGAATTCGGTTCTTAAAGAACCCAATAGTGTACAAATAATGTCTTTTTGATATTTTTATTCATAATAGCATTCAAAAGACTGAATTAAAGACAATTTAATTTATATCTGTATATACATACATAAATTGTATTTAATTATAATATATATATTATGTGGAATTTAATTCTATAAAATCCGGTAGAATGAATGTTTTGCATTTTTTGATTGTTGTTTTTTCCCCCTATTCTATGCTTCAATTCAATATTTACTAGGGCATACCAGTTTTGGTGCTTTATTCATTAAAAACCAACTGATACCTAAGAGACAACTGGGTGGACTATTTATCTTTGACCCTTGTTTTATCAACTCTTTAGATTCCTCAATTGTATACTCAACCACATCGATCATCTCATCATCAACACCACCACCTTTAGTAGCCCGATCACCATCCGTAACTTCGCAATAATACATCACCTGTAATGCGCCAGAAGAGCCTACACCCGACCTACCATATTTAAATGTATAAATAAATTCGACAATTTCACATAAACTGTCATAACTACCTGTAGGTCAACACTTCCTCAATACGTTCAACAGCCACGTCATAACCGCACTCCTCTAGTACCTCTTCCCGAGCAATCTCACTCCAACTCTTGTTTTTATCCACAATACCTGCACACAGTTCCAATGTGACTCCGATTTTCGGAGGAAATTTTTGCAAATCTACTTCGCCAACATCACTTCCGGTTGAGGTAACGACGCTATGGAAGACAGCTTAAGAGCAGAACATACAGAAATTCACTATACTATTTCACTAAAAGAGTGTATTTTGTAAAGTCAAAAGTACTACAAACCTGGTCGAAATTGACGAACGAAAATGAGAACTCGTCTTGTCGTGTTGAACAAAATTACAGCAACACTATCATGAACTTTTAATAAATCCCAATTCTTTTCGACTCCATTCTGTACATAGTATAGTCTAAATGGTTTCACGTAAGGTGAATCCGCTGGCAGTGGACCCATCCACATTTTGGTTATGTTTTCCATTTTATCCAAAAAACTATTGAGTCCACGCAAAATAACTTGAAACCGAATTTTTACAAAAACACACTCCGCTCTCGCTATACTAAGTAAAAATAGAGAAGCAATTTGAGATAAGCGTACTATAAAACAAAAGTTTGAACTTTGATAAGAATTTAGAACAAACTTTTATTCCAACTCTTTTTGCTTTTTAATATGATATATATGCATTTTTTGCATATAAAGCACGAATGTTTATACAAATTATTTACCTACGGAACTATAGTGCGATGAACGTGTAAAAATGTTATAGACCGAGAGAACCCAAAACGTGTCGTTTACACTATTGGCACCGTACAACCAATTTAAAGCTTGCCTTAATTTAAGTCAATATTACATAAAAAATTATTCGAATAGTTTATCTCRTTTTGCTTTTTTGAATACAAACACCGGGTTTGTCAAACAGTCAGCTGATTACACTAAGAAAAAATTAGATTTGAACTACTAAATGTTTTGACTCAAATATTACATATAATTTGTTTATGCAAATATTGCATGTAAAATGGAATATTAATAAAACTTGCATTAAATTATAAATAAAGTAAATCTTTATTAAATGTTTAAAAAACATTAGAACATGAGCAGCAATTATTTGCATATGGCAATGTAGCAGTGTCAAGACTGACATTTGACGTTTCTGTTAGAAATTATTTTCATTTTGCTTTAACACTTTCTTTGCCAATTGTCAGAAGTTTTTCTCTACTGCCGTCAGGCATTACGTTAACTGTTCTGTGCACGCTAAAAATTGTAATTTTTAAGGAATAATTATACAACTTGTGATTAAACTGATCTGTAAATTTTTGCAGGACAACGACCAAGTGAAATAAAAGAAAAAACGAAAAATTTTCGAAAATGCAACCTGTTAAAGTCATATTTTCGAGCGTTGCACGCCGTGCTTTCTCAACGTCACCCAAAACCCTTGCGGCGAAGCAGATTACCGTACGTGAAGCCTTAAACACCGCCTTGGATGAAGAGATGGCACGCGACGACCGTGTATTTCTAATGGGTGAAGAGGTTGCTCAATACGATGGTGCTTATAAGGTAAATCATAAGTTTATGCYTTCATCCGAATCGACGTGGTCAACATCTGCATGATTACGTAAAGCGTATAAGTTATAAATGTGTATAGTGAACAAGACAGCTGACAAATTTATGGATAGTTGTCGATAAGAGCACGCGCAGTGAACAACATACGTAAGAATTAAATTAGTTTCAAAACTATGTAAGCTATACTTATACATTACTATTAAGACAATTTTAAGACACAACGGAAGGTCATACACCGACGGTCGTTTAGACATTAAAAAAAAAAATCATGCGTTCTTATCTGTTAGCAGCGTGCCAAARGCGACGCCGATTAACTACGTATCTACTGATAAGCAGCATCAGTATTGTTTACACCGAATATACTTTTTTTAATTATAGGTTTTTARTTAGATGCTAATTTATTTATTTTCCCGCCACAGGTGTCTCGAGGCCTTTGGAAGAAATATGGTGATCACCGCGTTGTAGACACACCTATTACAGAAATGGGTTTTGCCGGTATTGCTGTAGGAGCTGCTATGGCTGGCTTACGACCAATTTGCGAATTCATGACCTTTAACTTTTCCATGCAAGCTATTGATCATGTAAGTATTAAACTAATAGAYAAACATTTTATTTCATAAAGTAATATGAATGCGAATTCTTATTAAAATGTATTTTTTACATTTGAGATACATTCATTTATGCCATAAATGACCTAGTACCGTTCTAATATGAAAATATCATAAAGCTATTTAAAGGAATTTGCTTATTAATTGAAAATATACAATTGATTTACTATTGGGATTATGGCATTATTCCCGTCTCTTTACAATCACAAAATTATTTTCCATCTCCAATTATTTTAATTTTAAACGAATTTATGAAAAATGCTTTAGCTTGGTAACCAATTTAATTATTTGCTGTTCGAGAGTAGCTTAAATCTGCACCAGGTGGAAAAGTCAACATTATATTATTGTTATACACATATCGAAAAATAACAGTAAGGCATAGATAATCTGAAATGTGTAATGATGAAAATTGTTTAATTATATCGAATAAGTTTTAAAAATCAAATAACCAATTATTCATATTAACTCATATTATCTGGAATAAATTTGTGCATTAAACAAAAAGAAAAATTCTTTGTACAGAGAGATGTTTTGACTGTGAAGTTACTTATCTTTTAACTATTTCAAGAAATTCATAAGAAAAACAAAAAGTTTTTTTTTCATGGATAAAAATTTTTTCCGAAGTAACACAGTAATTGTCATGAACATGCTTAAAATTATTAAAATAGCTTGATAAAAAACTTTTTCTTATTTTTGGATGCAGCTCAAAACCTTAAATAGCTTAGGACATAAGTCAGCGCAAAGTCAAAACATCTCGCTATACAAATTTTTTTTGTTTACTGTATCTGTTTAGGTAAATTAATGACAAAGGCTGTTATTAATTTTAAAGTAATACTAGCAAAATAATTTGACGCTATCTATCACCTTTCAATCATACACAAGCCTTTTTATTTATCTCATACATTTATCATCCTCATTAGTCATTACTTTCGCTGTGAAATATCAACACTTTAATTTCTCAATTTTTTTTATAATATATGAACAATTTTTGTAATCGGATAATATGGGTTAAGATATAACCGTACTTTTAAATCGCATTCAAGTTATCATAAAAAATCTAAAAAAAATCTAAAGAATTCTTAATATCTAATTAACCCATGTTATCCAATTATGCACAGGTGAACTTAATGTCAAGYCAAACACACCCTGGCTCATTAAACAGTCTAAAAACCTTCAACAGCGAGGGCTTTCGACCTTATCATATTAATCATGCTTCCATGCTGCAGCCAAAGAAACCAAGTTCGATAGGTGATTTACCTGGTCGTCATGAAATTATYGAAAGCCCACGTCAGAGATGGTTGAATGATATCAACAATATAATTGATGAACCTACAACGATGCACGAAATTCAAGCGCCGGCCATTAACAATAGCAAAATGGAAGCGGCACGTCTCATTGTAATACGTCGCCGCAAAATGAAGAAACACAAGTTGAAGAAATTGCGCCGTAAGATGAAATTCGAATGGGCCAAGGTGCGTCAACGCCGTGAGATGCGTAAAGAGAAGGCATTCCAAGCCAAGTTAATAGCGCAAGTAAAAGCGGGTGAAGCATTTAACGCCGAGCAGTACRTCGAGGAGCAACTGCGCAAGGCTAATGAGAATCCATTGCCACGCTACTGGAAGGGACGCCGCTTGCCTGCGTTTATCATCAAAGAGAAGTTAGGCATTAAATGAAAATTGTTCATAGATAATTAGGGTTAATGAATTTGTATATGAGAGAAGTGTTGGTATTTCATTGGTATGATGTAAAAATAAATTTCAAATAACACAAACATCATCGTACATGACATTTTGTGCGTTGGTTTTTATTTGTATTACAAAAACACTCTTCTTAAACAAAAGGTAATAAACTCCGCAGCAAAGACATTTTATATGTCTGCCGGTATGGTCAACGTGCCAATAGTTTTTCGTGGTCCTAACGGTGCTGCTGCTGGTGTAGCAGCTCAACATTCCCAATGTTTTGCTGCCTGGTACGCACACTGTCCCGGTTTGAAGGTTATATCACCTTACGACAGTGAGGATGCACGTGGCTTACTTAAAGCTGCCATTCGCGATCCTGATCCAGTAGTTTTCCTAGAAAATGAAATGCTGTACGGTGTTGCCTACCCAGTGGAAGATAAGGTGTTGGACAAAGACTTTGTATTGCCCATTGGCAAGGCTAAAGTCATGAAGCCTGGCAATCATATAACTTTGGTGGCGCACTCAAGAGCTGTTGAAACCACATTAGCAGCTGCCGCCGAATTGGCTAAAAAGGGTGAGTCGGTTTGAGTTTTAAATTATTACTTTGTTGTATTGGTTTTTTATTTATTTTTTTTTTTTTTCGCAGGTATTGAAGCTGAGGTCATCAACTTGCGTTCAATCCGCCCATTAGATATGGACACGATTTGCCAGTCCGTCAAGAAGACACATCACCTCGTGACAGTGGAACAAGGCTGGCCACAACATGGTAAAATATTAGAAATATAACAAATAAATATAAAAATTGATCAAATTGTGTTTAGGTGTTGGCGCCGAAATTTGCGCCCGCATAATGGAGGATGAAACCTTCTTCCACTTGGATGCCCCCGTGTGGCGTGTGTGCGGCGTTGATGTGCCTATGCCTTATGCAAAGACCCTGGAAGCAAATGCCTTGCCACAAGCGCAAAACGTCGTGGAAGCTGTCACCAAAATTATTGGACCCAAAAAGTAGAAAATTACTCACCTTAGAACAATTCAATTAGACAGATCGAACGATCATTCACAAACAACATCACCCACAAACTTATTTGTTTCTAATGAAAAGACATGCTGATATTTTGATGAGCTGCCGCAAATTCACAGTTTCGAGTAAAACTTTAACACTTTACACTTACACTTGATAGCATTATGATAAGTGCAAAGTCTTTAATTTTTTACCACTCWGTTAAATTGAAGCTGCTCAGAGTAGTTGCACATTAAATGTTCAGAAAATTTGGAATTCGGCGATTTGTCTTCTAAAATTGAAAGCATATTTCATTAATTGGTAGGCACACTTCATTGGGAGGCTAATCCATTAACGAACAACGTTGTGCTACATACCTGCCATATGTATACATTTAAAATATGAGCAAAGTACGTGGGTGAGCACACACGTAATTTGTGATTATTAATAAAACAATTTTTAGTTAAAAACAAAAATTAAAGTAATTATCGATTCTCATAAGGTAAAACGGTCAGCAAATCAATTTTGAAATAAAAATTAATTATGAATACTAAATTTAGTATTTTTGTTCGTTAAACTGTGGGCAATATTATGATAAGGTGACTTAGAAAACGTCACTATAACATAGTAATCAGTCAACGTGATGGCAGGACGCGACACTGAATAGGGTGATGTTTCTAACACTCAAGAACMTCTAAAGTAYATACATTCATATATAAATGATCAACGTGACGAASCGAGTCGATTTAGTCATATCCGTCGTTGTAGTAACGACAGAAAACATTTCTGAAGTAATTTCGAGCGGTGGTGGTTTTATCCTTGGTCGGATAAAAGTCCAGTTCTGTTCCGGTTACGTAAACCCGATTCTCGCGCCAACAGTTGTTGTTGTTGTAGCGGCAGAATTCTGTCGAGTTGACGGTCTAACTGGTCGCCTCTATAGACAACCTGACCTAACAATGGCTAAGGATGGCTCAGCTACAGCAACTGCTATACTCTATTTACATATTTTCTCTATTTGCAAACAAAATKAGTAATAAACTTATTTGGTACATAAATTTTCATCAATTATATTTAGCTTTAGTCATGTATATGTCAGTGTTGTAGGAGTGTAGGTACGTGTATGCAAAGACAAAAATATATCTGGATACCTTYTCGTATCCATGTTCGTAATTAAGGTTAATTTTTTCCTTTGTTATTAAAAAGTAGACATGATTAACCCTAAAAACCATTTAAGTCCTATCTGCGCCATCCAAATATTTCGGTTATTCGATTTGCTGCAGAAGTTATTAAGCCCCCCGCAAGGCTTGATTGTTGTGCAGCGACRTTCCTGATTAAATCCGAATCTTCAATATCCTGCTCATTTGGGAAATTCGGTACTGCCTCCCAACCCGAGCGTAAAGAATTTTCATCTGTAAAACGTTTTAGAATGAGTGAATTTCAAATATAAAAATTGTGTCAGTCTCACCTTCCGATTCTGATTCAGTCGCCGTTTCAATACCCTTAAGCAAAGAATCCACCGATTTCATTAAAGGTGCATTCGATATTTCATAGAATCCATGGCGTCCTAAATTGCTCTTCTCTACATCCAAAATGGCCAAAACGTTTTCCAATGTGTGATTTTCATTCAGGTTTCGTAATTGCACCTGTTGTGTATAAGCGAGGTACATGATATTTGAATTTAAACGCGATACTTTGCGCAAAAATTGCTCTTCGTTGAGTTTACGACAAAAGTCACTGTAATTTACATATACATTAAACATATGTTTAGAATATGTACATTTCTGAAAGTTGTGATTTATCTTACCCATACGACACTTTAAATGGCAATCGCACATTCAGGTAGAAACTCAGAAGTTCTGTCAGTTGGGTTGTGTACGTAAGTGCTCCAATAATGCGGAATGCGCTGGTGCGACTCGGTGCAACTTGATTGCCTTCGTTCTTCGGTACATCGTCCTTRTTATCGGATAACCAATCTAAATAAGCTGTATAATCGCCATTAGCAGGCAGTGAAGGCGCTACAATAAGATATTGCATCTCGCTTATTCCACTACCGTGAAATACCCATTTACCGCGTATGTAGGAGGTATTCTTGGCATCTGCCAATTGCTCCATAGTTTCGCAATCATTTTTTCCAGGGACCACGGTATTAAAGCGCTTTTCATTTTTCAACACAACTTCCGAAATCGGGAAAACGTATTTAACAAGTTCATTTATATCGTGTCGTGTTACTTGCTGCACCTTATCCAATAGACCAGTGTATCGTTCCCGCAATTTGTTGATCTTCTCATATCTATCGAAAACGTAGTCACCTAAAGCTTTTACCTTTATTGGATAATTAGGCAACTGTTTACGCTTGTCGAAATTTACTTTAGACAACAGATCCTTTTGCTCTTTTCGTTTCGTCAAAAACATTTGCTTCTCTGATACTAATCTATTAAGCAGTTGAATTTTTTTCTTCTTCTGCTTAATCTCACATTGCAAGTTTTCGCTGGAACGTTGCTCTCGCATATACTCTTCATAGCGGTTATTCAAATCCTTGAGACCACCTTTTGTTTTAATATATTTTTGTTGTTTTTCGAATAAACTATATGGAATACAAGCAATGATGGTACATACTTACAAGTATAGGTTAAATATTCCAATACTCACTTTTCCTTTTGTGTACAACCAGCAACGTTACTGTGAACAATATTGCCATTGCGAACACATGAACAGCAGTGGAAATTATGCTGGTGCTGTGATTTGATGCACAGTGGGCACCGATACCTTAAACCCAGTATGTCTTCTGGGTTTGTGCGACTGGCAGAATCCCTGTAAACATCCTCACTTGAACTAGACACGTGAAATCTCAAATTAGGTGCGTTGATGCTTTCATCGGACGACGTTCTGGACATAGATGCCATAACATAGTCGTCCACAAAAACCACAACTAACTCTACCAGCTACCTTTGCGCTGCGTCACAGTTCCTTTTCTCTTTCAACACAACAGGTAATAGTATATCTGTTTTAACGCATTTGCCATATTATTACAGAATATGCTGTAATATTTTGAATTGCTATTCCTTTTGCTTAAACACTACTCCAAAGTTTTTATTGAACAAAGTATTTACAGTTTATATTCAATGGCTTGATAACTAAAATTTTGTTGTCTTTTTTTCACAAATATTGCAGTTGACAGTCAGGGTTGCAGATTCACAAATTGTTAAGCAGTCGCCTGTCTGTTTTCTAGTTGCGAAATCAAATGACAAGTTTCAGGTAGAGAGGTTGTTTAAGAAGTGATCGCTACAGGACAAACGCATAGTTTTCTTTGTACCTACGTGATGATTTCAAACTGTTTAACATATGTTTTTTGATATACATACATGGCTTACTTACTAAATCCAAGTCTGAACACTTTAATTTTGTTGTAGTAAGAGTTAAAACACAATGTAAATTCACTTTATTGAAAATACTATAAACTAATATACTATTCTCTAAGATATTTATTTATAGTGAGGCCTTTCTCATACGAAAAATTCAAAACTAAAAGAAATTTAGTTATGAYCTTTATAGTGGACAGCACAGTTATGTATTATTTGTGTTTACATGTATTATCAGCTGGTAAAAATGCCATATGATAGTACAACCCAAAGGGTGTTTTTAATTGTTACAAACACGTATCTACAGGGTGGCGCAAGTTTTTTTATGAAACGAAATTGATTTGCTGGTCTGAAATTTAATGCAACTGTTTACTTTTTAGACAGCAATACTTTTAATAACTTGGTATACATTATTTCTTCAAACACTGTGCAGACCTATTCAAATAATCAACATTTGTTACTAAAAATCACTAAATGAGCATTATATACCTATATTTTCAATTTCAGGCCACAACCCGTACGAAAAAAGAAGGCGAAGGCATAAAAAAAATGGAAAAACGTACATATATTTGTACATACTTATGTATATTCAAACGGCTTATTACCCATCTTTTAGATATGGACATGGAATGTTTTTCAATAAATTTATGTAAATTTATATTGTATTAAAAATATTTCCAATTTATTCGGATAAAACATTGCACATACATATTAAATATATTTAGCACATGCAATTGAGTTTTGTTTTGTTTTCTAAAGCGATTGCACAGTAATTTATAAAAAATCGCTTAATAAGGTATGATATATACAAATATGTATGCTGTCTCTTATACACATCTAGATGTGTATAAGAGACAGGCACATACATATTAAATATATTTAGCACATGCAATTGAGTTTTGTTTTGTTTTCTAAAGCGATTGCACAGTAATTTATAAAAAATCGCTTAATAAGGTATGATATATACAAATATGTATGTATGAATAACCTCAAATAAATAGAAAATGCAACAATATTTTTTTTATATATAATTTGCTTTTATTCAGTAATTAAACTTTTTGCAGTCGTTAAAGTCAAATCGAATGATACATGTACTAGACTGGACCCTTTGGATCCATATATGTAGACATTCAAAGTAGAAAACAATATTTCTCCACAATTTTTGCTGCATAATTTATGGTAGACAATATTTTCTTTAATAATCGCTGCCCAAATAATTTATTACAACTATAATATAATTTGCAAATACGAAAATAATAGGGGCAATGAAAAACTAGTACAAATGCAAAATGTAGCAGGGCAACCGGAATTAACACAATTAGCACAAACTAGTTGATTACATTAAATTTAACTTAAAAATAGCAAAAAACGCATGCTTAAATGCTATGTATACGTTTGTATGTATGTAGAATGGATTCTTTGCATATTGTCTTATAATTGCAAAAAACCGTAACTAATGATATAAATAAATTAAGTGATCATCGAACTGCCTTTGAAAAGGAGACCTAACGAATACATATTTATTGGCTGAAGATACATGCGTGCCGATTACAGTCACCATTTCAATTACAAAATATTACACATGCTCCAAATTAATATCGCCATCTGCTCAATTGACGTCAGCTTACCTACATATGTAAGTATTGTGCAAATGCGCTTTTGCAAAGGTAGCAAAACAATTTTTCGTCTAAAAGAGTTTAGTTGTATGTATTTTATGTTGTTACTCTACTTTAGTTGCATTTATGTAAATACTAAAATCTAATTCGCGACTGTATTTGCTGCGAATCTGTTGATTGTTGGCTTGTTGGTGGTAGCGTTGATGATGACGGCGAAGATGTTGTCGGTAAAGGCGGTTGTATCAACGCTACTGGCACATTTGCCGAGGCAGACGACGGTGGTGGTGGTGGTAGTTGTGGAACTTCCATATGTGTTGGTAAAAATAATGGCAGTGGTGGCAAAGCGCCAAATGGGTGTTTGCCCATAGTCACACCAGTTACATTGTTAGTCGTTAAGAACCCCTCGCTCGCTACAGGCTGCGCTTGCGCGAAGCACGAAAGCGCTGCTGCCGAAATATTGCTTAAATCGGCCACATCAAATACTACTGCGGGTCATTGAGCGCAGTGATCTTTTTTCGACCCATTTTGTGATGATGTTAGATTAGTCTTTTGTTTTTGCAAATCCTAAAATATTACAATTTTAGAATAAATAAAAAAATAGTGTTTATAAGTAAAAAAAATCGTGAAAAATCGTTTTTTTAATATACCCTCGTGTTTTTAATATATTTTATGCCTTACCCCGAGATCCTTAAATGTTCGAACAGCTTGCTTTTCAAAATTTGAAACTCCGCCCAACGACTCTATTTGTTTACTCTTGATGACTTGACTATTATTGTTGTTCGTGTTACTATTATTATTATTGTTTGTTATGGTGGACGAACCAGATTGGAATACATTCACTTTCATGTTGTCCACTGAGTAGTTTGAAGCTGCATTTTTCTTGTATCGCTGTTTTTGTGACGGGGCCACCTGTGCCCTAACGGTAGCGGGGTAGATACTAACGATCTCCACGCCATCTGATTCACTACTGCTCTCCCGTCGATTTGGTGCATTTAGCACTAAGGCAGTTTTTGTGTTGGGCATTGCCGTTGTTGTGGTGTTACTATTGCCCGGCCGCAATATATGTTGTGAAGTCAACAATATATCGCTGGGACAACGGTAGTTATCTAAATCTATGACTTGTACGTTGGTCTCCCCAGATTTGGAATGTTTAGATTGAGATGACATAGTTGTCGATGGATTGACGCTGGTTGGGATCGGTAACGGCGGTAGAATGGCGCTAGTTGCTTTAGCTGAGGTGATGGCGGTATTGCTGTTCAAAACGTTTTGCATACCAAATTCTAAATTTGTTGTAGCAGGATTRAAGGAGGGTGGCTGCTGTGGCAATTGTGGTTTTTTGTTGTTATCATAGGTGCTGCTGGTACTGGATATATTACTTTGTGTTTGCGCTTTTGCTGCCTTGGTAGCACCTTTTCCACCATTCTTGCGTTTTAGACTATTCGAGGCGCTACTACTTGCTACAGATTCAGTGTCGGAGTTCGCGAATGAGCTACGGCTGCCTGTAGCGAATTCCTCAAACTGTTTCATATATGCGTTAGTAGCTGGCGCATTTTGTGTACCACCGCTGGGAGCACCCGAACCAGCGGTGATATTTGCCACTGTGGAGCTTCCCGAATTGGAATTGCTACCGTTGTCTTTTTCTTTCTTTTTCTCTTTTGCCTTTTTAGCTGCCGTTTTGCGTTTTTCAATCTCTCGTTGGAGTTCTTCGAGACGCATCCAATCCTTTGGCCACAGTTCCACGACCTTTTCACGGAAAAATACATTGATGAAATCCTCAAGAGTCTCCTTTCGTGTGCCTAGCACTGGATATGAAGTCCAACGTACTTGATATACGTCGTAGAGTAAGTTTCTAAAATACCATAATATTAATTCAGTATTATCAATTTTTGGAAAGGATTTCCATGCTTACCGTAAATTGGTATTCCATGGGAATTTCTTTTTTGGCAATTTTGGTGGATGCTCAGCATTCATATTAATGGCGCTGAAATATGATGTAACTGATATATAAGATCGTTCAAGATTGATAGAAAGGATATTATATTTTTCTTACATTTCAGCTTGTTTTCGTATTTCTGCTTCGAAATTTGCAATAACGCCGGGCATTGCTTCAATGATGGCCTTACGTAACTTACAAAGTGCTCTTTTGCTCTTCATTTTTTCTTCCTTAATACGCAGCTGTTTCGCTTTACGCAAGAAGAAGTATTTAGGCAGAACGAGATGATACTCCAAGTGTGCAAAAACCATGTTTCTATGATTCTTTTCGATACATAACAGTGCCTCATCGATTCTAAATATATTACATGTATGAAACTAGTTTCACTTCAATATACATATACTCAGTTGGAACTTACTTTAAAAAGACTTCGACTAGCGAATCGTCAAACTGGAAACGTTTACCAGTCATATTCTTCATTTTTACGATTTCCTTAAACTGTTGAACATCCGCAATTATTTCAGCTTCGATGTCTGGAAGCTTAGTATCGCTAGTGCGCAACTCTAAAATATACATTGTCATTATTTCAAAGGAAACTAATTTGGTTTTTAATATGTAACATACTTTCTGTGCTTTCTCCAATGCTATTTTTCACTTTCTTCTCTTGTGGTTCACTATCGTGGGAGTCACTGTCATCACTGGATTCGTCCGATTCACCACTTGTTGAAGAATCGTCTTCATCGGATGACTTACTAGCAGTTCCTTTTAGTTCGCCGTTAATTGCTTTTGCTTCAGAGTTGCCGCTTTGTCGGTTACCATTTCCGCCTTCTTGCATTTTAAGGAAATTGTCACGTTTTGCTTTGAGCATGTCCTTGATTGTTGTTGTCTTTACAACTTTTTGCCGGCCGCGCTCTTTTTCGGAATCAGAACCCACCGACGATGGTTTGGGTGAATTCGACGTAGACGAACTACCGATTACAGAATTTTTSACATTTTTCCCCTTCTTAGTATTACACTCCGGGCTGGTCTTTGGTTTTTTTGTCGGATTAGTATTTGAATTGGCGCGGGGACGTTTTTCATCAGGATGTGATATGGCACTACCATTTTTGTTGCCCTTTACTGTGTCAGCACTGGATACTTCACCATCTGAATCGGCATCTTCTTCAGCATCTTCATCGCTGCTGGACGAGCTATCCGAAGAAGATGAGGATATAACGCGCTTTCTCGGTCGATTAGGCATTTTTATAATTTCATCCGTTTTCGTAGTCGTCGATTCAGTGTGAAGTTTTTGGAATTCCAAAGGGCCACAATTTATGTAGAAGCCACCTTCAATTGTTTCCATTTCTTCTGGAATAATTTCATCGTACTGTAAAATATAATTCAAAATTAATTATTAAATATAATATGTTGATGACAAAGCACATACTGCTTCTGTGTTATCTATAAAAGAATCAGATTCATCGTATCCTAAGCCAATATCGCAGAGGTCATCTTTTTTGCTACGACCGCGGCCGCTACTGTACGCACTACCGTATTTCTTTTCTAATTCCCGCGCAATTCTAGCAACATCATCGTCATTGTCATTGAACGGATCAGTGAAACCATTTGTTTTTTGTTTCAATTTTTTCTGCTTTTTCTACATAATTGAAAAAATATATATGTATGTATATACTTATGGAACTTTTTTTTTAACTCGAAAATGAAAATTTACCTTTTCCAAATGCAATAGTCTGGAATAATTGAATTCGGGATACTTGCAAGAATCTGTGGGAAACAATTCTATTGTAAGCCGCATAGATTTATTATTTTTGCGATCAGGGATCGCATCCGTGGTGCTTATCCCATCTTGATTTGGTTGACCAGAGAGAAAATCAACACCGAAACGAGAAGTAGTCGTTGATAAAGTACCGCCGCTTATTGTTCCTATAACACCGGTAGCAGCGCTCCCACCAGCTCCGAAGTTGGATACCGATGTTGTACTACTTACAGTTGTAAATGAAACTCTCTTCATTTCAGACATTTCCACCGAATTATTATTTTATTTCAACTGAGATTTGTAAAGTTATAAAGTTTCCAAAATATGGTGAGCAACATTAATAAACCTGGCAACGTGACTTTTCATTGCCTGTGTACGTGAAAAATGTTAAAATTGTATTACTCTCTCTATTCACAGAATATATTTATAAAAATTAATTATTCGTTGAACAAAATGTTTTTTTTTTTTTTTTGTTTAATATGTTTAAAAAATTATGTTTTCTCTTCTTCCAATGCAACTATTTTCCTTTTCTTTATGCCATTGGCGCAATTGTCTTTTATTCGCTTTACCACTACATTTATTGCAAGAGTAAACGCACTCAAGTAAACGCACCACCTTCTCTCTCCTATTTGTTCCCTTGCTTCAATCAACACTACTCCACATATCACATACAATATACAATACTACACTGTGCTGCTGCTTCAGGCGCTGCTTAGGCTTCTGCTACCGCGAATACTTTTTACATATCTGCTGCATGCAGCTCCAGGCCGACGACGTGACTAAAATTTTACACACTTTGTAACTTACTGAACACTTTCTTCTCCAACTTTATTTTTYAACAAAACTATTTATTTTTAATAAAATGCAGATTATTTGACACTCAATGTTTGTAGTTATGCAAATTTGCTAATTTTTCAATCGGTTCAATTTTTGCATTTTGTTATTTTGGAGCATCCACAAAAGTCTTTCATTCTCCTTATTCCATTTCGCGGTTGATTTGGTAAAATATAAAATACTACACTTTGAAAAAGGCAACAGCAACTCTTTTCAGAAAGTAACAAATATTATTACTAAAGAAACGCTACAAATATATGCAGTTATAGCCAAATACTGTTTTCAATAAAAAAAAATATTGACAATCAAACTAATAATAAAGTAAAGGTAGACTTATTTAAACAAATCATTTCAAATAAGTTATCTTATATATTCAAACAATATATGTWAACAATTTAGGAATAATAATTGCAACCCTAAGCTGCGAAAATACTAAATAATCGTCYAAATGCAAATATTCAATTACTTTGACATTTTGCGAATGTCAAGTAAATGCAATTTCACAAATATGCATTCAGCAGAGAGTTGCCACAAATGGAACAAATTAAATATTTTGAAATTCATGACAGTATTTTAAGTGAGTTCGAAAGTATTTAATTCTTTCGAAAATAGAAATATTTGTGAAGTTATCAAATAAAAGTCGAAAAATAAAAGTATCAATAGAGTGGCTATGTATATTAATAGGAGACGCAGAATTATTGTTTGAAAAAGTTACATGAAGAGGYTTCTTTTGTAGTAAGGGGCGTTTTTATATGTTAAAATTGGAATGAAAAAGAAATATTAATCAATAACAAAGTATGTGGCCGTTCCGTTCCGTTCCCGATACAACTGCCTCCATGTAAGTGACTGTATCAAGGTCTGTCGCCAGCATCTTAACTGCCACTACAACAACAAATACTGTGACTATATTCGTTACCTACTATACCAGATAGAAAGGATTCATACTCAGGTAGTAAGTAATCATGTTACCGTAGTCACGTATCTAAACATATATATTTTAATGGAAACGTCAGAATTATATACATAAATGCGAGATTTTCAAATAATCACTGAATACCTCAAATGGAAATAGTCACAATAATGGAAAATTCGAAATGTATTAAGTTGTAATGACATATTTTTTTGATTGAAGCGATATATACAATMATGATTCTTGTTTCGGCTGGTAGTAGGTAGTGGGTGGTGTATTTGAAAAGGACATCTGGCAACCTGCTGGGGAATAACGTTCATCGACTTCTTCCACYTCTCATTTCTCAAAAGCAGCAAATGTAACGATAAGAAAAAGACACGAAAAGCGTCAAAAAGTGAAAAGTGAGGAATTCTGCGCGAGAAGAAAGGAAAGGAAAAATTCTTGTGTGAAAAATTGTTATTTCGAAAAAATATCATCAATTGAAATAAAAGATTGTTGCATTGACGAATGCTGAAATGCAAGGAATTGTATTCAACGATATCTTTTTGAGTAAATGGGAGTCGCAGTAGTGAAAATCCCGACGAGGCAGTGTAGCAAGCAAAGAAACTCGGCTAAGGTAGTAATTGTATACTCCGACCAATACAAGCAAATACAGAAGCAGAGACAACGGCAGCAGCAACGACCACAACAGCACAGAAAAAGACAACGTCGGAGCGGCCGTTGTGGCTGAATAAAAGACGAACCAACGGTAGCGGTAGCTCCACCGCATCGACAGCAAACAAGTGTAATTGCAAAGTGCAACTACGGCCACAAAGAGGGTGGCGGAGATCTGAGCGTGTAACAATAATTATAAAGTGGAACAATGTGTGACGTTTGCTCAGATTTTCTGCATTTGCTGGAGTCGTGTAAGTATTGAATCATATTGAAAATACTTAAATTTTAATCGTTTCGCCGGTAAGTTGTTAATGACAACGAGTTTTTGAGTCTATACCTATACCGTAGTAGGTCACAGAGAGGGCGGGGTACATACACAAGCCATGCCAATAAGTAACTTTGAAATGAAAATATTTTGCTTAAACTTTTTTTTTACATTTTTTTAATTCTCAGATGAAGTTCGTATAACCAGCAACGATGCAAAACATTCGATTCTTTTAAAAAGCGAGATTGAAACAGCTTTCGGTTATATACAAGCATGGCCACAACGCCAATGCATGTGTTTATATCGGGATCCGAAAAACTTTGAACGCTTTAATCTTGTAGTTCAATCCATGATATGTTTGGCAGTACACCATTTAAAGCATATTGAACGTTTAATTGATGACTACAAGCGGTTGACAGCATGCAGTTTGGGCCAGTCAACATCTGCTGCAGCTCAKGCACAGGCCAATGCGCAAATGGCAGGTGCTGGCACTTCAGACAAAGGAACAAATTTAACATCAAATAATAACGCTGATAAAGATTCTATAGATTCGGCAGTGGAAGTTCCAAAACGAAATATTGAGGATGAAGTTGGTGATACTGAAGAGAAGAATGAGCGCAAGAAACCTAAAAGAGATGCAAGTTCATCTCCACCTTGTGTTTCACCTTCATCACGCAGCGTTAATTCACCAATWATTCCAACATCACCGCCACCCCCCGCACCGTCAATGCACCTACCACAATCGAACTCAAATATTTCATTAGGAGGTGCCGCACAAAATGCTGAACTATCGAATTCTTACAAATCTAATTTAAACAGTGGATCACCATCAACTTCACTATCTCAAATAACTGAGGAACCATGGATATTGCCAGAAGTAGAAAAGCTCTTCATATTAGTGTCAAAAGTGTTTCTGTTGAATTTCCCATTGTATATTGCTTATAAACACGGCACGCACGCTCGTCTGGATGATATTTCTGCTGAAGAGGCGCAACATTTGGCAATCTTTTGTGATTTACACGACAATGAGATACCGGTTTATTTGCTCCGTAATATAACGTTGTTTTGCAATTCGGGTGGTTTCGCTGCAATGATGTTGTGCTTTGAACAGCCRGATCTTCCTGTCACTACTGCCCAGGCAATTACTGCCACGGTTTCAAATATAAAACTGTGGTTAAATTACAGCTGCATTGTTCAGTTATTTGTACCGTTGCGTAGCCGGGTGTTGCAGTAYATGTGCAAGTTGTCGGATCAAAATTTACGCTCCGCAGCCACACGAGCGATGGCTGACTTTGTATGGTCTGCTGTGCGTGATCCGCTAGATGCGTCAGTCACTTTCGATGTTGAGGGCCTAGCACTGGCATTTAAGTATTTTACATCAACTACGCTAACAATGCGTTTGGCAGGTGAGACTTTTCAATTATAGCAGTTTCTATAAATTATATTYTGGTTATTATTTCTCCATAGGTATGGCACAGATAAATGCACACATAAATTTATTCAACGAGATATGCACCACTGAAACTGTTGGCGAGGTGGAAATTGTGGGACAGAAAATCGCAAACTGGCTAACAGAAAATCARATTATACAACATCTCTTCGGACCGAATCTACATGTCGAAGTAATAAAACAGGCGCATGTAGTTCTGAATTTCCTAGCAGTGGAAAACCAAATTACCGAAGAGCAYATCAAACTGATATGGCAAGCTACTCAACTTAAACATTGTTCCAAGACAATTTTTGATATATTGCCGGCATTGGTGAAAAACCTGGCACCTCGTCCAGCCATGCATTTGTATTCATTACTTTGTCGCATGGATCCTAAGGAGCACACGGAGCAGAGTATTTATATTGCATCRGCACTTACAAAACTTATTTGGTCTCGAGATAATTCTCGCGCACAGATGACCATGATGCAGGATCATCTATTGGCCGCCCATGTGACTGCTTCCAGTTCAGACAGCGGCAGCATGGACGGCAGTAATTCTGACGATGATCCCGGCAATGGTGATGATAGTAGCCTAGCCAGTGGCACCCGTAAAAGCCCGATTGAYATWGAAAATGTGGGTTCGGACACCGGGGCACCCCCACCTTGTAAGCAAGCTCGTCATAGGCGTCACGTCTGTGAAGCCAGTTCTGAAGGTGATTTATGGTAACTGCCGTTAATATTCTTTTAATTACCACTTATAATCTGCAGATAAAGGAAAYCGCTCAAATGTTGAGGACTTGATAAATAAAAAGATCGATATTAAGTGAGTGCTAAAATATAAGTTCATCTTAATAAATTGTGACTTGAACATAATTCTACCCTTATTTTTATTACAATACTTTTCAATAACGCAGGATGCAAAATCACCGCATTGTGAATATTATTGATAATTCTAGTAGCGAGGAAGATCTGCAACAAGCCGCACTGGATGTACAATTGCATCGTAAGAAGTCACGGAAGCGTCGAAAAAACAGCAATTTGCCGCTTACCCGGTTGGCGCACGAAATTGTTGAAGCTATTTGGGATGGCGGCGAGGATGAAGATCCTAGCAGTGATGATGCTGACGATGCCGACGAAGCTGATGGCGAGGTACTAAATGACAGCGATGACTGCAGCGACACCGGCGGTCAAGTTGTGCCCAGCGCCGTATTGAAACATTTGCGTGGTGAGGGCCCTTACATACGCGCCATCGATGAGACTCATATTAGTGAACTTCTGAATGGGGCCGAAATCGACGGGTATTCGTCGCCTATGAGTAACAAATCCGAAAAGAATATGGCCGACTTTGATGACGAGGATGTGTCGCCGTGCGAGGAGGAATTGAGTCAACTGCATGCGCTGCGGGTATCGCATAATTGCGTACCGCCCGCATTTGCCGCCGCTGCTATGGCTGCGGCACATTCGAGTATTCAACAACAACAACATCAACAATTGCAACAACAAAAGTCAGTTGATGCCGACTCTGCGGATCTTGTAACGGGCGCTAATGACASCGCTACGAATGCAGCCGCAGTGGCTGCCGTGGCAGCGCGTGTGGACACCGAGATACAGCAACAAGTTGCGAATGTCAACGCCGCTGCTATTGCCGCAGCGCTGGCAGCAGTAATGGTGCGGCGCACTGGAGACACCGGCGATGGTGACATSTTGGGCAACAGCGCTAAGGCTATATCGCCCCAGGCGCAGTTTGCGGGGCGCGTGTTGCAGAGTGGCGTGCAACAACCACAGCAAAGTGGCGCGCAGGCAATACCGTTGTCACCGCAACAGACACCACCACAAACACAACAGCCTTCTTTCAAAATCAACGATGTCTGTCAGCCGGGCAACACTTTGCTTTGGGATTTGCTGCAAGATGACAAAATTGTATGTAGCTAATCGCAAGAAACCAATTTGGAAAATTGCTTAACTCATGCCTCCTTTTTATATTTCTCACAGTTTCAGTTGGGCGAAACCCTAGCACTTGAGGCTGAAAAAGCGCTGGCCACACTGCTATGCTTTAGTATGGATCGACAATTGCGTACGAAATTCATTGAGGGTTGCCTACAGAACTTGGCCAGCAATCGCAGCGTTGTCGTGAGTCTGCGCTTGTTGCCTAAGCTCTTCGCTTCATTTCAGCACTTTCGCCCGGCCGACACACATCATGTGACAATGTGGGCCGAGCGTCAGCATCGTATGATGTATCATTTCTTTAATAACATCAAATTTTATGCTAAACGTCATGCAGAGCAGCAAAACAAGGTGACCGGTGGTGGCGAAACACCGCCCGAAGCGATTATGTATTCACATAAGACACAAGTGTCTGTGCGTTTGCATTTCTTGTCTTCCATATTTTCAACGTTAGGATCGCCAAAAACGTTTCGGTGAGTTCAAGAAGGTTCCATTTCTTTCAAAATTTTTTATTTTTTTTTTAATAATAATAATGCCGTATAAATTCCGGTGCAAGGATACCTTGTTTAGGTCTAATTCTTCTGTTTTTTATATAACGGTAGTTTGTGTCAACTGTTTGAGCATAAATATACTTAAACTTCAGTATTGATTTAATTTTTWAAGATTTTTAGCTCGCTCGAACACTTTCAAAAAACATTTAAATAAAGCACGTAAATTAACCGAAATCTTGGGAACGTGTTTGTATAGTCAAACCACCGTGATATTTCAAAGGGCTCATATATAATTATTGTATATTAAATTAAATCGGTAATTTTTATGTCAATACACATTTTTAGGTTAACTTTGGAGCAAGTGGATGCATTGTGGGAGTGGCTGGCGCATGATAGCGAATGTGCCGATTGTTATTTTTCGTGGCTACAGAGTCAGGCAAAGGGCGGTGAYCAGCATGCTCTGGGTATTGATGCGCTACAGCATTTGTATTTGAAGAAGCTACCTGAATTGCGACCGGAAGAGTTCTCCATGGTGGCGCTGGGCCTCTTTCAACAGCTGTGCAGTTTGGCTCGAATGGCTATTGCTCACTACGAAAAGCAAACCGACTCAATATCATCGACATCCGCAAATATAGTCGGTATGTATCATCTGTGGAAGATCGCCTTGCGTGCACACAACACCGAAGTGTCTCTGGCCGCTATTCAATACATCAACATGTACTACATGGGGCAACAGTTGCGCTTGGAAAAGGAGTTTGTGTCCCAGTGCATGGATAATTTGGTGCAAGCGACTAATACTTTGGAAAGGTTTGTATAAACACAATTTTGTGTCGTGTATTAAAAATTGAAGTGTTTTTACACCYTGCAGCAATGAGGATGAGAACGCATTGATGTGTGTCCAGCGTGGCTTGATGCTACTCAATACACATTTGGAAACATTCCGTCGGCGGTATGCATTCCATTTGCGTCGCTGGGCCATTGAGGGTAAAGGTGTCTGCTCGCATAGCAATCTGAAGAATGAGGCCGCTGGGCCGGCCATCCGTATCGTCTTGCAACCGGCTGGGCTCTCCGAAAAATCCGTCCTACACATGCATGCGTGCGATTTAATTGCCGAACTGAAAGCTGAGATATCGAAATGGTAGGTCTGCTTCAGTATTTTCTTATGCTACAATTGAGAATGAAATTTATTTTTGAAGGTGGGAAAATCTACAAGTCACCACCAGCAGCAGCGGCGTGTCGGCGCCAGTTTTAGGTCTTTTACTGAGCGACGGTCCGTTACGTATAATAACGCAAGGCCAAGAGTTGACTTCTGATTATGATGAGCGCAGTCTGGGTGATGCAGGCTTCAAGGACAACCAGGTTAGTAGAGAATACTTTTATTTTTAATTACATTGCTAACCTGTTTACTTTTAATTTCAGATCGTTTATGTRTCGCTGGGTGGCCGAGGTGCCCGACGCAAGGAGACGAATCTCGATCACCCATCCATGCAGCCCCCACCGCCGAAAGAATGTTTACCAACAGTATTATTACTGCAGCCGCGCTACTTTGAGAAGCTCTTCTGYTTGATGCAGACATTGGGCGATATGAAGCCGCAAAATAGCAATTTACAAATGCACACCAAAGCCCAATTGCTGTCGAGACGAGTGTGGGACATACTGGCCATACTGCCAACGAATCCACTAATACTGGACGCATTTAAGGGACTCAGTAATGATTTGAACGTGTTCGAGCGACTMAACAGCGAAGAGGAGCAAGCAAATAAACGCAAAGAAATCAAACAGAAATTGAACGAGTTGCTCGATGCCAATAATTTGCAAAAATTCATGTACTCATTGCACATCGTGGAGAGTCTTACGGTGAACAGTGTGTTACAGCACAAAGGTGCAGCTGGCAATAATTCGACATGTTGTGGCTTTGGTGGCGGTGGTGTTAACGGCAATGTGATACCAATGGATCAATACGTACGTAGTAGTAAGGGCGGTAGTGGAACTTCGAAACGTAGCTCGAGCCGTCGTCGGAATAGCAACGAAAACTCAAACGCAAAAGACGAAAATAAACGCAACAACAGTGGCAATAGCAGTGGCGGCAGCAGCAGCTGCAGTGGTAGTGGTAGCGGCAGCGGTAGTGGTAGTGGCAGTAGCGCTGGAACAGCATTGGAGTCTCTGTCGCACAAGGAAAACTTCGAAAATACTGTACAAAAGGATGGCGGTAGTGCYAGCGATGATGTGGCCAGTGAGGATATGCCAAATCATGACAAGGAAAACAATCAACCATTGGCGGGACGTCCTAATAAACGGCTGAAACGTAGCGATAGCAATGCCAACTTGAGTGATGAGAAGGAGAGTCGACTCACGATCAGCGCTGTGGATACTGGCAGTGGTTCTGCTGTCGGCGGCACGAATAGTACAAGCGGTGGCGCATGCGTARCAACAGCTGGCAATGCACGTACCGCCCATGACCTGAAATGGAGTGAGGTGTTTGTTCGTTGCGGCGGCTTGCGTTTGCTTTATGAGATCTTCATTTCCGGTCAGCTGCAGCAAAGCTCTCATCCTCGCGAAATGCTCAACGAGTGGCGCCACGATTGTTTGGCTAGCCTTCTGCGCGTGCTCTGGCTCTTGGGTTTCGAAGAAGTGCAGGCCGAAGATATGCATGTGGTAGTTTCACGTCCACATGCTTTTATGCTTGAACTAATGAATGTAGATCCGTGTCTGCGCCGTCTTGCTTCTATACTCAACGACGAGGCCTATCAGAACTATGCCGCGCTGATACCGACCACACAATATCAATATCAGTATCCATACCAATATCACCATTTGCGTACTGGGTTCTGGGGGCGCGCGCAGGTCGTACAATTCACTATGAATATAATGGTGAGCTTTGTTCACGCATCCGCAGAGGCTCGTCGCCTACTTTGGACTCAGCCGGACTATTGTAATTGGGTACAAAAATTCATACTGGAGGATCCCGAGCCGGCGGTAAGGCGTGAAATATGCGCTGGACTCTATCGCATTTGTTTGGGCAATGCGCAAAGCTACCAAGTGCTCTTAGCGCCATTATTGCGTAAGCTTATCTCSTTCTTACCGCTTGCSGAGAAGATGACGTCTTACGTGCAGCACACGCAGTATTTACTGTCGGATGAGGGTAAGGAGCCGTATGGACCGGCGTGYCGAGACTACTTTTGGCTGCTCGCACGGCTTGTAGACACCATGACACCGGATATGGTAAAGTGCTCACTGGATGGCGAAAGCGAAGGAGAGGCTATTGATATTGAACGCTTGTGCCAGTCTGTTTCACAAAGCATACTGACACGTGATTTCTTTGAAACCCGACATGGCTATCAGGTAGGATTTTCTCAACACTAAWGTATGCAATCGTTTTTTTTTTTTTTGTCATTTTGAAGATCTTAATCTCATATTTATAATTTTAAATTATTTAAGTCAGAGACTACAATTATAGAAGCTTAGTTTATTTTTAACAACGCAATATTTGTTGTTTTCTTATTTYTACAGGATGATGGCCTCGTTGGACTCATTAATTTAATGTCGAATTTCGTTAAATACGATCCAACCTTCAAGTTCAGCGGTTCGGCATTACAATTCATTGATAAAATATTTGAGTTTCTCTTTGACATGCCATCGCCGTTGAACCGACACAAGCCGAAGTGTAAATCGGCTACATCGCGAGCTGCCGCTTATGACTTATTGGTGGAGTTGTGTAAGAATTGTCCCAAGAATTATGTGTTCTTGCATGCGAAGCTCTTAGCACAGCACACACCCGGCGTTAAGGCTCCATATCCGTGGGAYTATTGGCCACGCGATGAAGGCCGTTCCGAGTGCGGCTACGTGGGTTTAACGAATTTAGGTGCCACTTGTTACATGGCCTCGTGTATACAACATCTGTATATGATGCCACAGGCACGTGCGGCCATTCTGAATGTGCCGCCGACGGGCGCACAAAAGCATGGACCCACACTTTTGGAGCTACAACGCATGTTCGCCTATTTGCTTGAATCGGAACGTAAAGCATATAATCCCCGATCCTTCTGTCGCGTTTATCAGATGGATCATCAACCGTTAAATACGGGCGAACAAAAGGATATGGCGGAATTCTTTATAGATCTTGTCTCCAAGTTGGAAGAGATGACCCCGGAGCTGAAAGATCTTGTAAAGCGTCTATTTTGCGGAACCCTCAGTAATAATGTGGTGTCGCTCGACTGTGGACACGTGTCGCGCACAGCTGAGGAGTTCTACACGGTACGTTGTCAGGTTGCTGATATGCGTAATCTACAGGAATCGCTGGATGAGGTCACCGTCAAGGACACACTCGAAGGCGACAATATGTACACATGCTCACAGTGCGGCAAGAAGGTGCGTGCCGAAAAACGCGCCTGCTTCAAGAAGCTACCACAAATATTGTGCTTCAACACGATGCGATACACCTTCAATATGGTGACAATGCTGAAAGAGAAAGTAAACACACACTTCTCATTTCCCATGCTCTTAAATATGACCGACTATGTGGAGAAGACGCTAATGCCGCACCAATATAAGGGTAAGTTCCGTATATCTATGCTCTAAGCAAATAATAATTCTCTAACATTTGGTTTCTGTGTTACAGAGGAGCGTGAAAAACGCAAACAAGAACAGGAAAATAAGAAAGCGAACGYTGTAGATGCCAACAAAGCTACGGATGACGATTTTGAGGAGTGTCTTGAGTAAGTAATCAGTGMATAAAGCAAAACTGTGCCGCAAAATCAACTATTATGACCTTATAGATATGAGCTGGTTGGTGTAACTGTACACACGGGCACGGCAGATGGCGGTCATTACTACAGTTTTATTAAGGAACGGAACAAATCGGCGCTGCAACACGATCGYTGGTTCCTATTCAACGATGCTGAGGTGAAACCGTTTGATCCTTCGCAAATTGCGGCCGAATGCTTTGGTGGCGAAATGACAGTAAGTAGCAGTGGTTACGTCAACTCTCTAAATACTTTATTATTATGTTTACCAAAATTTTTCAGAGCAAAACTTACGATTCTGTAACGGAGAAATATATGGACTTTAGTTTCGAGAAGACCAAYTCGGCCTATATGTTATTTTACGAGAGACGTCTGCCAGAGCATTTAAAACAGCGACACTCTGAGCTCTTGGCATCACCAACAGCGAGTTCACGCACARCAGAGGCCACCGAGAAAGCTAGTGCACTAAAAGATGRTGAAGAGTTAACGGTTAAGTCAGACAGCGAMAAAACTGATGACAAGGAAACAGATGAGAACGCAAAGAGCAACGCTAAAATGACCATCATTGAGTYGAATAACTCGCCGAGCGAAAAGCCGGATACGAGCAGTTCTGACGCAACAAGTAATGAGCCACAGGCGTCCACMTCCGCCGCAGCTGCAACGGCTGCAAGCACAAAGTCGACCACGGAGGCTGCCGTTAAACACACGCGCATGCAGATACCAATCTTAAATAAAGAACTCGAGGACTGGATATGGCAGGATAATCGACAGTTCCTGCAGGATCGCAACATATTCGAGCATACATATTTCAAGTAAAATTTACTCAATTTCCTCTGTTGATTTTGCATATGTAAAAATTTTAAATTTCCAGTTTTATGTGGCAAATATGCGGTCACATTCCACAAACACTGCTGGCGCAAACCGATGTCACTTGCATGGCAGCCAAGTTGTCCGTTTCGTTCTTTATAGAAACCTTCATACACGCCAAGGAGAAGGTAGTTTGTAATATTCCTTCYTTATTTGTGCGCAATTTAACTGTCGCTTCTTCGTTGTAGCCCACAATGGTGCCCTGGATTGAGTTGCTGACAAAGCAATTTAACGCCAGCCAAGAAGCCTGCGAATGGTTCCTCACACACATGTCCATTGAACCGTGGTGGCCCGTGCAAGTGCTCATACAATGCCCCAATCAAATGGTGCGCCAAATGTTTCAAAGGCTAGTTATACATGTCATACAAAGGCTAAGGCACGTAAACGCCATCGAGTTTAACTATTTTTTTTAAAGGTTTTTCTATATAATAATTGCTTGCTTCATTTGTAGATCTTCGCATGCGCATTTGTATTTGAAAACTGATACCGATGACGATGGCAAAGAGGTAATGGGCAACGCTTCGTGCGTAACACGTTTCATTAGCTCCCTGATATTGCTAATGGAACACGGTGCTAAAGCGCATTTGCGGCATTTGTCGGAGTTTTTTGGCCTGCTCTTCGAGTTCTCACGGATGGGCGACGAGGAGACGGTGTTTTTGCTGCGCATCAATGTGATAAAGAGCGTGGCCGACTTTTACTTGGGCAACAAGACACAGGACTGTGTAAGTACTGTATGCATGAAATATTTCTGAATTGAAATAATCTACAGTTTGCGGAATTTATAATTGAAAATTCTTACTATATGTTCRCAGATCGATGTTGGCTCCGATAACGATGATAATTCGTCAGATGAGGCTTTGTCAGTGGACAAAACACGTCCAGCATCGTTGGACAAAATGATTGCGTTGGTGGCGAATTTGGTGGAGCGTTCGCGCGGACAAGACTTCCGGTTGCGACTTTCCACAAAAGACTACAATGCGATAGCCGGGGGCAAAGTAAGAAATCATATATATATGTATATATAATTATATTTTTATCAATATAAATTGATGTTGATCAAGTAATTCAGATTACTTCAAGCTTTGCAAAGTAGTTATGTGAATACTTGACATTTTTGCCATTTTTGCCATTTCCCTTTTACAACAGGGGTTTCCGTTCTTATACCAACAAATCAAGGATAACATTAATCCACATCAGACCAAGCACCTCATACATGCACTATGCCGTTGGGACGATCGTTTGGCGAATCAAATAATCACCATGCTCTTCTCGTCTGTAACCAAGCACACGGAACTTTGTGGTCCATTTTTCAAGCTACTGACGCTACTTACCGAAACCCAAGGTGGTCCCTCCGGTCTGCCTTGTTTCTCCCAGCTGGTTTTGCAGCGTGTTTGGGACGCCGCGGAGTACTGCCCGCAGTCGGCGCTCGATTGGCTCGCTTTCCAAGCGCCAAAAAATAAAATTGCACATGCTTGGATATTGCAATCRGCTGATAATTGGGTGGAGCAGTATTTGCTGGCACACAATAATTCGCGCGTGCGCAACGGTATGTATGCTGCTCCCGTGTTATTCGCTATATTSAAAATAATTTGCGTTTTATKGATTAATTTCATAGCTGCTGCGTACTTGCTGGTGTCACTGGTGCCATCGCAACCTTTYAGGGCGAATTTTCGCACACATTCTCTGCATAAACTGTCGGCACACGTCTATCGGTGAGCTCAATCTACATTTTAATATAAATAATATAACATAATATGGTTTATATTTGTTGCAGCGACTTGAATAGCGACGCTCAAATTATACTGCACAACATTATCAATCTGTTACTGCGCCTGCTGCGACCGGCTCGTGCTTATGCAGATATCGGTGTGCACGGCACTACCAAGCTCACAACTTACTTTAGCTTACTTAGTTACTGTATGGTTTCAAAGACTGAAAAACTAATGGTAAATTATATATTGATCATAATACCGTTATTTGCAMCTTCTTAACACGGCATTTACATTATATCAATGACTAATTGCACGATTACAGATTGGGCCGTATATGCGCGCTCTATGGGATCTATTTCATCCGCGCYTGTCGGAGCCTAGCGTTCCAGCACATCACAATAAGCACGCGCTACTCGCATTTTGGCATCACTCGATTGTCGATTGCCCGGAGAATGCGCTCATTGTCGCCAATTGCCATGAAATAACACGAAATATTGCATTTAATTATATACTGTAAGTAATCGGACACAAATAATAAAGTTATGTGTGAAAAATTTTTTAAATCATAATTAACACAGAGCGGATCATGACGACTCGGAAATTGTTGCCTACAATCGCGCAATGCTACCCGCCTATTATGGCCTCTTGCGTTTATGTTGCGAACAGAGTCGCGCACTCACACGGCAACTAGCCGCTCATCAGAACTTGCAGTGGGCTTTCAAGAACATCACGCCACATCCGACACAGTACGCAGCAGCGGTCGATGAGCTATTTAAGCTAATGGCATTGTTTGCGGCGCGTCATCCGGATGCCAGCGAACAGGAGCAGCATGAAGTGTCTACATTCCGTCGCACAACACTCTCAGCGTACTTGACAGGWTTGGATGCGCGCGTCTCCTGGGGCACGCTCATAAATGCATTACGTATTTTGGGTAAGATCAGCAGTAGATTTCACCACCACAATGCAAAGTTATAAATTTATATATTTTAAATGAAAAATGCGCAGTTGACAACGACGAAGACCGACTGCTCGTCATCTATAATGGTGGCATCGAGATGTGTTTTGAGGCGCTGCATACGCTACATTCCATGCATCACGAAGCAACGGCCTGTCACGTATCCGGCGATCTRCAGGAGCTCCTTAGCGAGTTGGTATTGCTACTAACCACGCTGCGCATGAGCACACGCCTGGATGCGCCATCGGCAGCAGCTAGCGCTAGCAAGAAGCAGTTGCAGCAGCAACAGCAACAACAGCGTTTGCCCGACGCCGTCAAACGGCTGGCCACATTTCTCAATACATTTAATCCACCGGAAATCTGCCGTCTATCACTCGAAGTGCTCAAAGAGTTGGTGCGCAATCCCAGCTTAGATGTGACCAGTATACTGGCACCCATACTCATTAACTGCCATTTGTCCGTGGCGAATGCGCCCAGTAATATCGGACCACTGGGACCGTATTTTCCGCGACGCGGCACCAAAGCGCCGTGGCCAACCATGTCGAAGAACACGCCACGTCCACCTCGTCCCATGGTGCAGATGAGCATACCACATGGTGAGATACTACAGAAGGGTGTCGATATCGAATACGACGCRCAGGTGGAGGCATTCTATCGTCCGTATCATGACTTCCTGGATGTGATGATGCGCATGGCGGTGAACACAAATCAACTGAACGAGACTCTGGTGAAACTGAGCTGCTTGGTGGCGATAGAGGCGGCACCGTTGCACTTCAACTTGTTTCCCAAATTTTGGGTGGGCATCTACAACAACAAAACCACAAACAAGTAAGTKTTCGTAGTTATTAGTAAAGTRTAATTTCAAAAACCTCTAAATGCTKTTCTTTACTGTTTTACAGATACGCCGAGCTGCTAATCAACAATCAATACATTGTGGAGTATATACAYATAATTTTGCGCGACGAACGTGTTTCGCTCAGTGATCATTACATAAGAAATTTCTTAGAAATCTATTATCCGAAGGTAAGTGACAGACCTAACGGTTGTTAGTAACACCTGCAATAATCGAGATAAGGTTTACGGTTAACATATACATATATATATATATATACTTAAGTGTATATCAAAATGATAGAATGAGTAAACAGAATTTTCATTCGCTTTTAAATGTATAATAGACGTTTCCAATTTAATTTGTAAATTTAAAACCCGGTCTGCGTAACCCAATGTTTACGTATTGGTGTCTGGTCATAAATTTCTTTCAATAATGAGAGAAGGGTGTATTAAGTCGATTTCTGCACCTCCTTAAATGTATGTATATACATTTAATGCATTTTACATTTTCCTCCATTATATAGATATCCGCCCAGTTGCCCATTGCACGTCTGCTATACACTATCAGTTATTCGATGCACTCAAAGGAGGATCTAGATGATCTCTGTGGCGATTTGTTCGCCATCCGCGTGATAGCACAATGTACAGGTATACCGACTTCCGTCCGCAAGCAGTTAAGAGGATCACTAAAAGCACTGTTGTACAAGAGTTCGCGCTATCAAGAAGTAGCTGAATTGGAGATATCTCAAAACAGGAAACCCAAAGCAGCTAATTCAAGTAACGCTGAAAAAACTGCAGCGAAATCGGTTGAAGAAGGTAGTACGAAAAGTCCGACTGTGGGCGTCAAAAGCAGCTCACCCATACCAAAATCGAGCGTCACGAAGGAAACAACTGAAACCGTTGAAATGGAGGTGGATAGCGAAGCTGACACAAATAAGTGTGTTAAGGACGTCAAGAACGGAGTAGAGGCTATGGAAACAGATAAAGCTCCGTTAGGCGACAGCAAGGATAACGGCGATAACGGTGGTAATAGTGCGAATAAAAGCGATGATCCTGCGGTTGAAAAGGCCGAAAGTGATGCGGAACATACTGTCAAAAAAATCACAGAAAAAACCGACAAAGACGAAACAGAGGAAAAAGAAAAGAAGAACGACGAAGAAACGAAGAAGTCTACAACACTAACGAAAAGCCAACCGGACGCTGAAGATAACACAGCTAGTGGCAGCCAAGSCAGTGCTTCTACGACCCCTAGCGCTGCAGAACAGAGCAAGAGCATACAAAAGAAGCCCACGGAGGTGCGTCTGTACGAGGAGCATGAAAAACGCATCAAACTTTTGCTTACCATGGAAACATACATCAAGAGTATACTGGTGCTGATGCAACGCGATGAGTGCAGCACCTCGCCAACRCCCAATACACMCAGCGCCGGAGATGAGAGTGAACCGACTGCGGATGTACCGGAAGCGGCATGCAAAAGAGGCACAAGTATTGCAGTTGCACCGACTACGCAATCACCCTCTTYCGGCTCGGCTGGCAACAGAACCGATTCCATGCCTGACAAAAGTGAGGAGAAGAAATTGCASTGCAAGACACAAAACGACGCCAAGRCAGGAGACTCAAGTGACGGCCACAACACGCCGACTAAGCTGCACACTATCAAAGYATCGGATAAGGAGGAGCGGGACTTAACGGCAAACGCGAGTCCAATAGCAGCGGCACAGCCAACAACAACAACAACAATGAACCCAACGCCCACGATATCGGCGGCCACCGCAGCCGCGCTACATTCTCAACAAATTTAGTTATCATTCAATGATTTGCTAAACATTTTGTTTTTCGGTAAAGTGCTGGAATAGKGCCGCGACTAAGTTGAAAGTTGAGTGCGACATAGTGAAGGCGGCGCGGCGCATGCGCTATTTATTTGCAATGGCGRTAACAATTTGTTAACTTTTACTTAGATATTGTTATGCCAGTCAATTATTTCCTTTACCTACTTAAAACTAAAATCATTAGCCCATTAGATATATTGAAAGTTCATTATCGTTGCAAGAACCGTTATTCTGTATGGTCGCCCTACAACATTTTAAAGTACCTTTTGCTTAAGCTAGGTAGAACTACATAAATGTATAATATAATGAAATTTGAATTTTCCACACTCGTGTGCTCGTGTTTACCACATACACGCACACACACACACACCCACGCCTGCTTAGTGAATGTTATTTTCTTTTTCTTACATTTATTTTATCTGTCAAAGTAGTGCTATGCATTAATTTGATTTCCATTATTTTGTTTGTGTAACACGATTTAACAACGTATTACAATATAACATATAAATATATTAACCTAATAAAAAATATATATGATGCTATTAGAATTTCTGGCCCAAGGTCAAAAATACATACATGTGTGAAAAGTAGAAACGAAAACGTGCTGACCTAAGGTTGGCTGTGAGAGGATAAAAAAAAATAGAAATAAACTGAATTTTTAATTAGGCAAAGCGTAAATTGCTATTCACTGCATAATTTTCAGTTTGAGATCAGCAAGAGCACTTGTACTCATTCCTCCAATGCCTGCAATTTCAAATCAAAATTTRTACAAAGAAACATATTATGTCACCCATATTATCTATATAAACTTCCATTCAAAATTTATGTGTCATAAGCAAAGTTCCTATTTTCTAACTTAAGCCTATCTTGAATTCAACCTGATTTCGCTCCTAACGATTATGTAATATACGAGAATACTTTAATGATTTTTACCCTAGACTTCTTTCCTACACTGGTCTCAAACTGGAAAGTTTGTAAATAATAATCGAATAGACCGAACAGCGACAAAGAAAAAATTAATAAGATTAAATAAAAATAAATTAAAAAGAAACTAAAAAAAAAACATAATGAATATCAACAGAATGTATATTATAAGTTAATTAGTTAAGCTCGACTACAAAGAAACAAYAGCAATGCCACAATGGCAAAGCATACTTAAAAAGGCAAAATAAATTATAAAAAAACACAAAATTTATTCCAAAATTATATTGATTAGTCGATTAGAGACAACAACGCATTTGAAAGTATAAACGAAAAGGCAAGAAATGAACACAGCTGCACATTATAATAAATACATATTTGGTTATTTTATATATATACTCTTACACATAAATTATACTGCTTGCATATACTTACATTCATGAATACACACATATAAACAAGTGTTTGCAGATTTTATACATAACAATTGCTACAAATTAAGCAAATTATCGAGGAACATTTTCCCTTTTTGAGTTTGTTGATCGATTRATTAGGAAAGACATTTTTTATATTSGCTTYAAATATTATCCTTGGTAACGCGAACTTATTAGTATTGAATGCCACCTTAACATACATACATACATACATATACATGCACGTGGGCATTAACATTTGATCTACCCTTCGTATTTATTATACAAGATTTGATATATCCTTTATTAAACAAATTCAGTTTTTCCTCATGTATTAATAACTCTTATGGTTGATTTCAGTTATAATCGTCGTTTTTCATTGCAGATTGAAATCTTAAAGGTTATGCTTACGTAAACATGTTTAATGGAATTTGTA